ACGGGGAGGAGACGGGAAAGGAGAAAAAACTCCCTCTCCCCCCTCTCTCTTCCAGAAGACCACCCCAGAACCGCCTACGCTTGCAAAAGAGGGAAAGGGCCACGGAACGACGTAAACTAACTGCTAAAAAGTCGATGTAATGGAAAGTGAACAGTAAGAAATTAGTTTTTAAAAGTCAATAACGAAATTTTCAAATCGTGATACTCGTTACTTCCAAAAAAAAAACATGAAATCCACACGGTAGGATGCACTACTCGCCACCCTGTATAGCCGTGTATAATTCAATTCTAAAAATATCACCGCTAAAGGGATAGCTTCATCTCGAATCAGCAAAAATCCCAATTATCTACAAATTTGACCGAAAAATCCGAAAAGCAGGCACAGCATAAACAGCACACATCACCGGTAACTCGCATGATGTGAAAAAGAAAAGCAGCGCAAAACTTCGAAATCCGTGCAATCGCAAAAATTTAACAATATCACTCATAAAGGCATAACTTTTCAGTGCCATCTTTTACGATTTAATCACCTTCATTTTACTAATTCGTGGTGAGACACGGATAACAATCTTTCAAATGAAAACTTAGGTGGTTAGGTGTCAGCAAGCTAAGTGAGACATAACGGCAAACGAAGTATGATAGATAAATGGCCCTATGATGTGTTAAAAAAACAGCAGAAATTAGAAAGGCAAATGGCGTGGCGGCCCAACCGATTAACTCGTATGTAGGGGATGGCGAGAACGCAAAAAACGTCGAAGAATAGTATATTGAGAAGTTGAGAGAGCTGCATAAAGATAAGTTGCCAAATTTTTAATCTTGTAGCTTTTGTAGATCTCGACATGAAAACTCGGTACAGACGCACGCACAGACACACATACAGTCACATGCACACACATAGACAACCCTTCAGTAATATGTGTTTTTGCATTGCATAGATGCAAAAAAGAACAAAAATTCTGACTGCGAATTAGCATCTGTTTCAGAAATTCGGATACGAAGTGAACTATTGTCTTTTGTAAACTTAACTATATGTATATATATACACATAGTTAAGTTTACAAAAGACAATAATTTTAAAAAAATCATACTTTATAAACATAACAAGTGTTGCTTGGGTAGGCGAAACAGGAACCATCCGAAAAAGCAACGATTTGACTGATATGTCCAGTATCACAAGGTGGCTCCTCGTTTAAAATAACGATCAATTTGCCAAATTCACTGCCGGGACTACCAACAAATTCGCCCCATCGAATACCGCTTACCGTTATAAGCGGACTCTGGAATTTGATTCAAAATCCTCGGCTGCATGATGAAATTGCTCAAAAAACATGCCAATTTTGAAAATTCCATATAAAAAAAATCAAATTTTCGAACTTTCTTGAATCTTTAGGATTAAAAATGAAACTTATTTTTTAAAACTCTTTATTCACAAAAAGACTTCACAGGATTTTTCACTTCACCTATTCCAACTTAGGCAAACCAAAATTGCATCTAACTTTGTTGCTGACAGCGTGAAACCATTCTCATGCTACTTTTAACAAAATGAAATCGCCCTCAGATAGAGAAGATGTTTTTCATACTAACTTTGCAGCTATGCCCCACGCAAATATTTATGGAGTATTGTTAGACATGGTGTAATTGGAACAGCCATAAACTAGCTTTCCATTTTGCAGGCAAACTTATTAGCTATTTTGAGCAATGCTGCATCATCTGGTGGTCAGCCCACTGGCGATTCTGACGGGTCGCCACGTCTCATGAAGGGATTATCAACTCAACGATTCTTTCAAACACAAAAACACACAGCAAGGCTTTTCAATCCTTTCGAAATGTCTTTAGTGTATGTGTGTTGAGTGCCACCACCTCTCCGGAACAATGCCACTGCTACATCTCATCAATGAGTACCTTTTCAGCTAGGAATATTTTTTTTTTTCATAAATTTCATACAACAAAATTTTTCAAAAGACTGTAAGTAAAATCTATTGCAACTTCAAAACTCTGTGACATTTCGGAAGGGTTGAAATGCTGTAGCCTAAAAAAATATGTAGAAATGTATATGACTTAATGGACCGAAACATTTCTTACCTACTTTAATATTTCTCATTTTTTCCATACTTCCTTTCTTACTTTTTCCATCATCCTTTCTTATACTTTTTCTTCATCATTTTTATGCGTTTTTTGCAGCAATGCAATGCGAAAAACGCATATTGACGAGAGGTTGTC